TTTTGGTGAACGGCCATTTCGACTCTCCCTTGGGATCACCCGGTGCTGGAGACTGTGCCTCGTGCGTTGGTAAGTCTTCGCTGGTTTTGCAACGTCCCGTTGGTTTCACAAAGTAGATCTATGTCGCAGCGTCCATGCTGGAAGTTCTACGCTACATTGTTGATTCCGGCTGGGTACCTCCATCGCCAATCATCTTTCTGTTCAATGGAGCCGAAGAAGTTTTCCTTCTGGTATTTACTCAACTCCCGCAAGTCCATTTCGGATCTTTGTTGCTTAAGCTGTCATCATAGTGCTGGGAGCTTTTCAGGCCTCTCATGGTTTCATTACGACTCATAAATGGCGATCAACTGTTGGAGCTGTGATCAATGTCGAGGCTACTGGGGCGAGTGGACCTGGTACGATTAAGTTTATAGTTGTTTTACAGGCCTGACTCGTGTGTCACTCTAGACTTGGTGGTTCAATCTGGCCCAGAAACTTGGCCAACTCGTGTGTACGCGGAGTCAGCAGTTGTTCCTGGAGCGAACAGCGTCGCTCAGGTAAATAAAACGAACACAAAAGAGAGAGACAGAGAGCTAACTTTGATGATCCAGGATGTTTTTCCTCTCGTACCTGGTGATACGGACTACCGCATTTTCTCACAAGATTTTGCCGACATTCCAGGAATGGACATAGTTTTCCTTCTCAATGGTTATGTGTACCATACAGCGTATGATCGTCCGGAAATTATTGCGTAAGAACTCAAAAACTTTGGACGGTCTTGGCTAACTTCAGTTTGCAGATCTGGGTCCATCCAGACACGAGGAGAGAATCTTATTGAGCTGCTTAAAGGTTTCACAAGCGCTCCAGAGCTTAAGACTGCTGATCAACGAGCTCAAGCCGGTGGATCAAATACTGACCGTCATGTTTATTTTGATATTCTCGGCAAGTTTATGGTAAGCAGGTTCGGTAAATTGTGGAAATGAAGTTGATTTGGCTTTGTCCTCTTGCAGGTCCATTACTCTCGCAAAACGGCACAAGTCTTGCATTACCTTCCTCTCCTCATTGTACTTGCAGTGCCATATTTCTTTAGCGATGACCTGAAAACCTCTTATTCAGCCATTTTTTATGGTTAGTTTGGCGAGAGTTTGGAAGCTTTGCTTAATCTTTTCCTTTTTCTCCGTTTTTCTATTTTTTGTTTTTGTTTTCTGTAATTGTAGGTGCGGTTCGCCATGGATTAGGATGTGTTCTGGCTGTTCTTTTTCCCGTGATGCTAGCAGCAGCGAGACTAATTTTGTCAGCAACGGCAATGGCATGGTATAACACACACGATTTTCTTTTCAAGTTGTTAGCAACTGACAACTTCTATAGGTTTGCTAATCCACTGATAGCAGTGGCGACCTTTGTACCAGTTTCAGTCGCGGGTTTGCTACTGCCTCGCGTTTTATCTTCCAGGCCACACTCCACTCAGGTACGACGTCACAAAAGTTTTGGTTTTGTCTTACACCGTAATGCTGCATGCAGGAGAAAATTGTTGCGTCTCACTGGGGAGCCACGGGTTTATATGGTCTAGAGGCTGCTGTAAGTCGTGAGCTTAAACTTTGATGACACTTTACTGATCCTAAAGTCTCAGGTCTTGATACTTTCTGGTGCAATGAGCAGCTATTTTCCATGCTGGTGGGCGTTATTTATGATTCCAGCTATCCACGTTTTGCAGCTTTTACAGAAGAGATTTGGTCAGCATTCTTTGCGGTATGATATACGCATACATGGTTTTCATCCAGTTTCTCACCACATCTCTTTTTTCTTCCTCCAGATCATTGCTCGGGTACATTCTTCCGGGCTTGCTTCCATCGGCTTACACCATTTTCTTTGTCGTTGTTTTCGTCGAATTTATTGTGGAAAAACTGGGAATGGTTGGAGCTCATCCGGATCCTTTTGGTAATATTATTATGGAATAAATGTTGTAACGTTGATGAGCATTTGTTTCAGGTTTCTTTGTGGCGGACGTCGTCATCGCATTTATAATGGGCTTAGCTGTTGTGGTGTCTGTGGGTCATATTATACCCGGTTTAGCGCACGTACTTGCTAAACCCCGGATCATCTGGTTGCTGCTCGCAATTTCCGTGGGAGTTTCAGTTGGAACGTCGGGTACATTTCCTTACAGCACTTTAGCTCCAAAGCGCATCATACTTCAACATAGTTTTAGAACATCAGGTTTGTTGTTTCGGAAATCTTTCATCTGGCTAATTTATCGAAAACGTGGCAGGGGATTCAATCATCGAAGCAAGTCACGACTTCGCAACTGTGGATCCAAATCCAATGACTTTTGTTTTCAAGCATGCACCACTTGTACGCGAGAGTCTGGCCGCGGAGCCGACGCTCTCGCAACATTCTGGTGCAAATACTTTCCTGGTATATCTTTGTGTGTTTTGTTTTCCTGGCACAAACTCTCTCACTTTATGCATTTCCAGGCTCTATATCCCATATCCTTGATGCTCTCTCGCAGCTTTCAAGTTCCAACACTAGCTGGGCCTCCATATCCGCAGGCCTCTCTTCCAAAACTTCTCCTGACGGAGTCGATACCCGGGACTCAGGGGACTCGACGTTTGTTCTTCGAGCTCGACTTGGGGTAAGCGAGAAACGCGTTTTGTATTTCATCATCGACAAAAAATATATTGCAGATCACTGCAAGAAGTCTGGGGCGCTGCGATTAACGTCACTGGCCCGTTACTGAACTGGTCACTCTCGAACCAAAGCTTGCCTGGTAACTTTTCCTTGAGAGTCTAGCGTTTTCTCAAATTAAAAAATTCACTTGTTTGCAGGCTATGAGATCGTAAATGGCGGTCCGCCATCCTACGTATGTCGATTCAGTGGCAAGAGCAGCGAGACCTGGAAATTCTGGATGGACGTAAGCACCACTTTCATCTTTTTCGCTTTGCTGACAGATAGATTTTCCAGGCAAAAATCTCCCCTCCTCTCCGGATCGAATTGGGAGTTTTGGATCAAAAACTAGACAAGACAACGATCGTCTTGATGCAAAAATTCCCACCGTGGGCCGCTGTCGTTGCGGGTACCACATACCTTTCGTCCTACGAAATTTGAGCCAACTCTTCTGGAGACTCTAGTGTGAGTAGAACACGAACACTCGACACTGTATAGAACAGGCCCGCGAATATACTAAACAAGAGGAAAAACAAAGAAAACGTTAAAAGAGCGCACAGTCGTTGGATGTGGCTTTGCCGCAGCCGTTGGATCCCCATTGCTCGTCGCTCTGTGAAGGAATGGCTCTCATCCCCATTCGTGTCAGTTCGCTCCAGTGAAGAGAGGAGGAGGGGCGCGGCCAAGGCGCCGATCGACGCGCGCTGCTGGGAGGTGAGTCCTCGTCGGCTCTGGGGCTCCAGATTCTCGAGCGCGGCCGCGATCCGGCCGATCTCACGCGCTCAAGCGAAATATCGGTCGCGGCGTCCGAGAATCCGATCTCGAGCTCGAAATTTCGTGGATTAGTGCCTCTGGGAGGGGATGGATGAGGAAATTTCTAGATGCCGCTGCCGCCGGCGCTGGTACTGGCGATCATGATCATGGCTGACCTCCATCGAGGTTTTCAGGGAAGGGCGCCGATGGTGTGATCTAGTGATCGTGCGACGGAGCAAGAATGCAGTTCTATCACCATCCCTTGTCGCTGCAAAGCCAGCAGGCTCGAATGGCGCTGGAAGAGAAGGGCCTGGATTACTGGGATTACAGCATCAATCCTTTGAAGGCCAGGAACTTGGACGCCGAGTTCTTCCGCGAGCATCCGAATGGCCGAATTCCAGTGCTCATCAATGGCAACCGTGTTACTCGAGGGAGTCTCGCCATTGTCCAGTAAGTTCTCCTCCTCCGATAGATGTTCTAAGTTTTTAAGTGGTTTTAGAGTTAGATTTTCATTGAGTGGTGGTCTAGTTTTAGCGATCCTCCTTTAAAGAAACTTGGTCATAGCTTTGTTGCTAGAAACCTCCGGGACGATCCGTATCTATTCCAGGCATTCACTTAAGTTTTTCAAGTGGTTTTTAGAGTTTGCTTTGAGTGGTGGTCTAGTTTTAGCGATCTTCGTTTGAAGAAATTTGGTCATAGCTTTGTTGCTAGAAACTTACGTACTTCTAACTCCGAGATGATCCATAGAGATTTTCTGAGGTTTTTAACTGAGTGGTGGTCTAGTTTTAGCGATCTTCGTTTGAAGTTGGTCATAGCTTTGTTGCTAGAAACTTACGTGAATATTCATTCCAGATACATTGACAAGTTCGACAAGGCGCTAGGAGGCGACAAGTTCGATTGCGAGAAGTCCCTCCAGTGGCAGCGCAAGGTGGACGCCTGGGACCCCAAGCTCTTCACGCTGAGCGCGACTCCACCTAAGTACCTCCAATACCACAGCCGCTTCAAGCGCCAGGTCCTCATCGCCCGGATGGCCGAGAACCCCGACCTGGCCAACAAGTACCACGCCAAGCTCCACGACATGCACGCCCTGGAGGAGCTCCTCAAGGACACGGACGCCATCCAGGCCAACCGGGAGCACCTCGTCGGCCTCCTCGAGGACGCCGAGGCGGAGCTGGCCGCCACCAACAATTACTTGGCCGGGGAGAGCTTCTCCATGGCCGACGTGATGTTCTCCCCGCTGCTGGCCAGGATCGAGCTGATGAAGCAGGAGAAGGAGATGATCCACACGCGGCCACACCTGATGGTCTACTGGGCCAAGGTGAAAACTCGCGAGAGCTACAAAGTTTGCATTGGCAAGTACTCCAAGGGGCTGGGGAAGATCAACTTGCTGCTATCATCGGTTCTAAACGTGGTCGCCAGAACCATGCTGAAAAGATACTAGAGAACAACACAGCGCTAGAAGATAGTTTGCCGTACAGAATATGCCTTCCGTAGTGCCTACGGGTGCTTCCGTGCAGAATATACCTCCGTACCATTTGCCGAGAATAAACACCCCGGATTCCCTCTCTCTTATGATCGGTGCGATGGCGATGGCGCTCACCGGCGGGCGATCGCGGCGGGCTAGGTAATCGGCGATGGCGGCCGGGTGATCATGGGGTCAGGGATTGGGAATTAGGGCGGTTGGAATCGGTGTGCGCGGCTCGACGCGGGAGAAGAGCCCAGCGCGAAGCTAGGGTTTTGAGGATGGGGTAGCGGAAGCCAGGGCGGAGCCGAATTCCGGAGGAAATGGATCCGGAGCAGACATTCTTGAGAGTCCACGCGCGCCTGTCCGGCGTGCTTGCGCGGCTTCTCACTCCCAGGTTCCGGACTGTCCTCGAGTATCTTTGCCTCTTCAATGCGGTAGTGCTGCTGGCGCTGCTCGTTGTGATGCATGTCAACTTCGTGGCCCAGGTTTGCCTTCTTTCTCTGCTTTTTTTCTTCTCTCCTTTCGGAGGTGATGGTGATTTTGGTTTTTTTTTTTCTTGCAGCCCGGTTGTGCTACTGAGTTTCATGCCGCCTCTGACGCGCAGCTCATACAAGTGAAGGTACTCAAATGCAGGAACTCTTGTGATTCATTTGATATTGTTTGTCATTTTGGTTCTAGATTACCGGCAGCAGTAGAGCTTTCGAGGAGCAACACCAATTCCTGTTCAGCCCCCTTACTCACCAGGATCAACCTGAGACGGCTCAAAATGCTGGGTGGAAGTTTTGGTTTCACGAAGCCGGGTCTAAGAGCAAAGCGAAGGTATCGGAAGGTGAGGATGATGGTGAGACCGCTTCTGAGGATGTTTCTGGCGGAGATGAAGCGTTCCGAGCTAATGTTGCCGGCACGACTCTCCTACACTATTTGAGTAAATGGAGTAGCTTCCTTAAGAACATGGAGCAAAGTATGAGAACTTTTGCGCAAGTTTGGGTAAGGCTATCTTATCTGAACGATTTGTCCCTAAGATGCACATTTTAGAGGATCGCGGGCTGGGAATCGTTTGCCGCCACGCTGAAGGGCGATCGACGTGCCGTTGCCTGGAAGGATTCCTTGATTGGTAAGCCAGAGAAATGTTTCTTGTTGGTTCTCATATTGAAATACAGTAGACCGGGCAGATAAGCGAGGCAAAATCCATGATCCAATGTACTTGTACAGCGTCGAAAAGGTATACGTCTTTTTCGTTTCGGTTGAAAATTGCATGAGATGAGAGAATAATATCAGCCCTCTCGGCTTGAAGGGTTATTTGATTCTTTCAGAAGTTGCAAAGGTCCAGCATGAAATCCGAACGGTCAACGTAAGCATTTGTGCTCAAAATGCTTGTTTTGGCAACAGGTGCTTAAAGAGCCTTCTTATGTTTATTGACTTATCTGTTTGTCAGCAGATGGCAGCGTTTTCTTATTGACAATTTCGTCGGATACGACACAATTCTAATGAACAGTCTCTTAACTGCTCGGGACAAAGGTTGGAATTACACTCGAATTTATTCTCGAAGCGTGTAAGGCTGAATCGTGCACTGTAGGATATCTCTATAACTTTCAGACAAAGGAGCTCTACAACCTCAATTATCTACAGGAGTCGAGTGGAGTATCTCATGGAGTTGAAGGTAAGCTTTCCTTCATGCGTTTGTGCTGTACTCACATAGTTTTTGTAGATTATGTTGTTTTCAAGTTCGGGGTGCTGATAATGTCATTATTTGTGTTTTTCACCACAACAATGTCTGTTTCGTTCACCCTCAGAGAAACGCAAGCTCGAATGCTGAAATTCACAGGTCTGGTTTTTCTTGAAATTGTGTTCTGTGCTAAACCTTCTTTCCCTGCTTGACAGTCCAACTGCAGCATCACGCACGACATCGTCTTCCTACCTTCCATCTTATCTTTATCCATGTGTTTGAGTCACTAGTTTTTGTGCCTGTAAGTATGAACATCGAACGCTTCATTCATTTGTTTTAATGCTCCCTTGTATTTACAGATTATGATCGGTATTTTGTTTTTTCTATTTGAGTTTTTCGACGATCAGCTCTTAGCTTTCATGGTTTTGACTTTGGTGTGGCTATGCGAACTCTTTACAATGATCAGGCAAGTTTCTTCCATTTGCATTTTGATTATTGACCTTAATATGGTGATTGCAGTGTCAGAACCAGAATCTCAATGCAGTATTTTCCTCGATTTTTCTTTCTCTACTTCATGGTGTTTCACATCTACTTCTTCTCTTATACATACGGTATGATTGCAAACTCACTTTAGCACATTGCTGAACTTGTCTCCTTTTTCAGGATTCTCTTATCTCGCGTTTTCAGCAACTGCGGGATTCATGCAGCACCTGGTTTTATTTTTTTGGAATCGTTTTGAGGTAAGACATTGACATGCCTGCTGCTTCTTACGATTCGATGGGGCCTGTCAGCAGATACCTGCATTACAAGTATATCTACGTAGAAGGGAGCTACTTCAGCAGCAGGGGTTACATGTAACGTCGTCGGCAATACTGACTTCAGCTGTGCAAGTGACGCGGCTAAACCCTGTCAACCCGCCAAGATCTGCAGAACAAAGAGTAGAAGGGAACAATGGCTCTAGGACTTCCTTAGGATTTATGACTGGAACTTTCGAAGTAGGCGGGTTGCAGTCTTCCAACAGCTCGAGAACTTCCAACGCAGCCCAGATTCCTTCGGACAGAATGACGGATAGTCTAGATTCTACTGTTGGCGTGCCAGATGCTTCTGTGGAGAACACTCAAGCCGAGGGCCCTCCAACCCCAGCGGCTAATGCTCCTATCATTCAGGCTGCTCCCATCACAGCATTCGGTTCCGTGTTTCCGTGGACCTTAGGGAGCCCGTCAACGGCATTGGTTTCCTTCCTTCCCATATTCCGGGACTTCAGGGAGCCTGAACCGGAGCCAGCAGGGACGACAACCACTGTAGGGACGGGTGGCGCCGAGGACGACAACGGTGGCTTGCGACAGAGGAACAACAGGACTCAAGAAGCTGGAAGCGAGGCGGATACATAGCAACATATTGCGGTGACGATCCAAAACACCAGGTTAATCTTCTTCACGACTACGAGATGGTTGGTAACCAGAATCGCTTTTCTTGATAGTGGACTGACTCGTTTATAATCTCGGGTTCCAGGAAAATGGTGGCTGAAAACTTTTTTCTTCGTCCAGGCAGCAGCTCTCCTTCACCAGGTTCCGGTCATGTCTATATCGTCGGTTGGTTAGTTTACAACGGATTGGTAGTAAAGAACTTGTGTGCTGTTGTGTGTCAAATCGGAAAGCTCAGAGGGAATCAATAGTGTGTTTTTATGATCCTGCTTTTAAGCTGTTCTTTGCAGGAACAGGAGTCTCGAAAGCTGTCAAGCATATGCTCGCGCTGTTGGGGCGAACCCGTCCAAAGAGGCTGTCAGCAGGATGATCCAACCGCCAGGGATATGAAAGAGAGTGCCAGCTGCCATACACATGGGAACATGGCCCAGCCCGCCATCAACCGTTTCCTCGCATGACGTAAACAGAGAAGCTGTCCGAGCAAACTTATACAAAACGAAGAATCCTTAGCTCGGAGGTACCACTTTTTCTTCTTTCACTATGGATCATCCGCCGTATCACCGTTTTCTTCTTCTTCCTCTTCTGCTTCTTCGTGCAGCAGCAGCAGTAACAGCACTCTGACGATTGAAGGGAATGGATGCCAGGGACTTTGTCAAGCTGTCCGTGGCGGGTCTCGGGCTCCGCATTAATCCTGCTTCAACAGGAACAGGGGGTACAGATGCAGGCTCTTCGTCGTTGAAGCGGCGAAGCAGGACTAGAAGCTTGGGCAGAATCGGGATTCCCTCGAGCAGCAATTGCTTCTTCTGCGAGATCAGATTTCCTGGGTGTCAACCGCAGACTTCACAGGTTCCACTCGTCTTTGGAGAGCCAGATTCTCGATCTGTTGCTGCAAACTTCTACATCGACGCCACCGTCTTCAACAAGCTCCTGTCGCCAAACCCGGCGTCATGTCTGCTGCGCGTGGGAAGCGGGTCAGCTCCAAGCGTGGAATTGGTTGTATACGCAGGCAGGCAGGGATACGGCAACAGCAGCGGCAGCAGCATCAGCAGCAAAGTTTTGGGAGTTTTCAGAGTACCAATCAGCGCAGATTCAGATTGGACAGACGGGTTGCTTCTACACGGAGGCTGGGTCAAAATGGGCAGCTTCATTAGTGGAATGGAGCTCCACGCTGCGGTGAAGCTAGAGTCGGATCCGCGCTACGAGTTCCAATTCGATGGCGACATTGCATTGAGCCCCCAGATTGTCCAGGTGAAGGGGAAGGGCGCAGGAAAGAAGCAGCAGCCAGTTTTCAGCTGCAAATTCAGCAAAGGCAGGACGAGGTCAGAGCACGAGTTTCTTTTTTTATTTGGCTTGCCAAGTTTCTCACAGTGTCTCTCTTCCAGGATGGTGCAAGGAGATCTCACACCAAGCCGGACTCCCAGGGAGGAGAGCGGCAACAGCCGAGAAAGAAAGAGCTGGCTCGTGACAATCCACGACCTGTCGGGCTCCCCGGTCGCGGCGGCTTCGATGGTGACACCCTTCGTGCCGTTCACGGGCTCGGACGAAGTCAGCCGGAGCAACCCGGGCGGCTGGCTCATCCTCGTGCCCGACTCGTGCTCCTCGGCAACCGACGTGGTGCATGGCGGCCACTCGTACTACTCGTGGAGGGCCTGGGGGCGACTCGAGGCGTGGCGGCAGGATGGCGGAAGGCTGGGGCTAAAGTTCCAGCTCATCTCCCACACCGGCTCCATCCTCGTGTCCGAGACCACCATCCCCTCCTCCAACAAAGCCGGCGAGTTCTCCATTGACACAGGCCCCAGCGTCCACCACTCTCCACTCCCGAGTCCTCGCAGCAGTGGAGATTGTTCCTTCTACCTCGGCCTCCCGACCACGGACAGTGGCTTCGTGATGAACTGCGAGCTGCGGCGCGGTGGCAGTGGCAGCGGGAGGAGAAGTAACTCGACCTCCTCGTCGTCGGCGTCCAGGGCCACTGTCCAGCTCTCGACCAGGTACATTACGTGCGTGGAGGACGCCGCGGTTTTCATGGCCTTGGCTGCGGCCGTGGACTTGAGCCGCGATGCGTGTCAGCCATTCTCTCGCAAGCTCCGCAAGGAGCTGTGTAGAGATTTCTTCTAGCTCGACCAAAGCTAGCTAGCTAGCGGGCGAGGCGGCCTTTCTTTTGATCGTTACTTTTCTCTTCTTCCTTTTTATCTCGTCCCAGA